TGTATTATAAAAATTACCTTATGGGCTCCAACAATGAATCCACAATGGATTGCCACCTCGATCATTAGTAACACAACTATTATTATAACAATGTTGAAATCTTTCTTGTAGTTTACTGGTATCTGTGACAAGATAACTAGGAACATGATCAGAATTATCGTTGCTATGCCCTGTGAAAAGAAATAAACATTTTAGGTATTTAATACATAATATAATTTCACTGCACGGTTGGTGCAGTGGCTGGACAACCGACAGTCATGCAACGTGTCGCGGGTTCGATTCCCACACGGAACAACACATTGTATGATCCACAAATTGTTGTTTCGGGTCTGGGTGTCATTGTGTATGTGAACTTGTATGTTTATAAACGCACCCACGACACAAGAGAAAATCCTAATAAGGGGCAACGTTAAAAAAATACAGTTATCTTACTAATATAATAAATACAAATGTTAGTGAGTTTGTTCAACAAAAACGTCAAAACGGCTGAAGGGATCAGGATGAAACTCGGAACAGGGACAGATTATGGTCTGGAATACCACATTTACCACACGCTAGATTTATCCCAAGGGAACACGGGCGAAGTAAATGCATACATGTAAGTACAAATCATTATCCTCATCAACAGACGGAAGACGTAGACGGATTGACCGCTTGCAAGTACAGCCGAATTACTAAATTATGCCAGTCTGATCAAATAATTATTTGCTGCTTAAACAAGTTAGTTATTTTGCTATTAGTTAAAGAACAAGCTATGAGTTTCATAGTTCCTAAATTGACAGTTAGATGAGTTACTGAATTTGTGTAATATCTTTTACCTCTATATTTACATACCAAAATGTATGAAAACCAATAATTAATTAACTTATGTATAGTGCAACAGTATAATGTACAAATGACGATACATTTTTAAGCATTTCCTCAAACAAGAATACTAACTAGTTTGTTAATTATGTTTAAAAAGGGAACAATAGTTAGTTACCAAACATACAATATACCTAAATTAATGATGTGACATAGTTACTTAGATTGCCTATTGTATTTCCTATTATTACATTACATACATATATTTTATTTGTTCTATCGTTAGTTTTACTTTGAATAGATCAATTATTATTGTTATTTTTGTCATTAATTAGATGTCAATAATGACTTGATTTAGTAAAAATTAAACAGACAATGGGACAGGTGAAACTAAATAAAAACATAAATTATAAGAATGGAATACATAGAAAGTAGAGTAAGTTGGTCTGGGACTGGAATAAGTAAGTTCTAAACTATAGTAGCCTTATTTTTTACATCTTTGATGTTATTTTCTATTTCTTTTTTACTCTATCTCTCTCTCTGTCTCTGGTTAAATAATAATTGTATTTTCTCATATAACTTTTTAACCTATTTGTTGTAACTCTTTGAAAGCTTTTTTTAAGGGTGGAAAATCATCCCATGACTTCTCCCGGACTTGGGTTAGGCAAGGCAAGGGCGAGTGTCAGACTCTTACTGACTAAAAACCACCCCATTCCTACTCCTGCTCTTCAATCCAGAGCCCAGGCTACCCGTTTGGCCTTCCACAGCTCCATATTGGGCATGAGCCCTACTGGGCCCCGTCTGTAGTGGTCTGATTGGCTCTTTGAGTCGTCTGGTCCTTTTTGGAGTCTCGTCTGGAGTGAAGCTTTTCGCTTATTCTTCACTAAAGGAATTTACACTCCACATATAATTTGTTTTTGTTTTCCTTTAAACTATATGATTGATCTAATTAATACTAACAATTTACTTTAAATTTATATAGTTCTAACTAAATTTAATAAGGTTCAACAGGTGTGAATAAATATGTTTTTAATAAGAAGATAATAAGATCCTAGTGACGAGTAGACCTATATAGTGTAAAAAAACTAGTGAGTTTAGCTTAACTGTTATGAATTACTGTAGATTACAAATAAATAATTACTTCAAATACTCAGCTTAATTTTTCAGGAAGTCAAAGCATCATAACATCATGCCTTTTATCCCCAGAGGGGTAGACAGAGGTGCACATTATGCCACTGTACAATGTAACACCCACCCACCCAGCATTCGCGACCACATCTTTAACCACTTGAATGCACCAATACGAGACACAATAGAAAATACATTGTGTCTCGCGGGGATCCACATTTAGACACACAACGGGTTAAGGAATTTATATAAATTAACAGAGCAGTTTTTAAGTAATTCAATCTTGAATTTAATTATTGTTTATATACAAATATTCAGTAGCGTAAACGTTAAGTAAATAAATCAAATACTACCTACTAGCACACTAAATGAAATAAAAGCAGTACTTAGACTGGTGGAGCAAGTGACTGAATTAAAATAATGATAAATAAATACTCACCAATTTCAGATACCCCCATGTTAGCAGGCCATACCGTAAAGGTATACAAAAACAACATTTTTTAAACACTGGCAGCTCAGCCATTTTAGCTAATTTCCAAATGCAATCGCTTTTGCACTTAGTGGGGAGAGGTACAATTATCAGTAATTTGTAAAGGGCACAGCTTTATCAGCCCAAAAAGTAGTCCTCAAAAAAGTAGGTTAGACTTCCATCCGTATTTTACTATACGCAACTATTTAGAGCAAACGATGACTTTATAATGACATAGCTGAACTAAAGCTATAATTAGAAAAGGAACAACAGCGGGAAGTCGCACGCAGCACTTTATGCCATGTTCAGCTTATTATGCATTATCCTTGTTTTGCCCAACTTGTTTTTTTATAAACCTGATACCCGTCAGTATGCGTCATACTTCTTCAATTTGTATATATAAAACTATATACAATGTACGCGGTATTATTAACGAGGTCGAGGCACCGGTGTTTACATTGAGATCTTGGGCACATCGATCGTATCTTAGATATATATAAAAAGTTCAAAGCCATTTTAATACAGAGTTCGAATGTTTAATCACTTCTTAAAAGTTGTTTACAAAGTTTTTGTTTACTTTTCACTTCTCATAAAGTTGAAACTCGCAGGTATTTACGCGCACAAGGCATGAAAAAAACAAAACAAAATATAGATAAACTCTGTCACTGACACTGTCATTGTCAAACGCGCGTTTTGTTTTATTAAAGATACCCATAGACCCATACAATGATTCACGTTTCGTTCAAAGACGTTAATCGAATGTTATTTTATTATTATTCATCACAATAGTTAATTAAAATACAAATTTCTGTCAAGAGTTGTTGTTGATAGATACAATGTATCTACTTGAGGCATATAATGTAAACATACATCTAGTTTTATATGAACTACGACTACCTACGAGTAATATTTAGAACTATAAATTATTAGGTATAGAAATAAACTACGCTCTTCTCTCTCTCTTCTTCCTCTTGCAAAGAAAAGTCTTATAGAAGTTAATATAAAAGATTTAATTGTTTGTACATAGTTAACAATAATAGATAGGTAGTAGATGTTCTTTCACTTTATACGACTTCTGACTCAACTGAATCCGAGTCACTTCCCGCCACGGTATCGTCTCGTTTTCTCATACGTTTTGTTGGAGTTGAGTTCTTTTCAAACTTGATATCGCGATCGCACGCATCATTATTTAATTTTATAATCTCACTCTTTAGTAGTAGTAAGAAGTAAGTTTGAACAACTGAAAAAAATAAACGAATCAATTAGGTACCGGTAAATGTAGAATTGTAGATATTATGTTGGTGTAAACATCTATTATGGGTTCAAAGCTAACACTTCATGTTCACTCGACAGAGCTAATGTATCGTATAGTCTTCGACCAATCACTGTAGCCGTAAAAAGATTGTTAAATGATATTAATATATATTAGGAAATTCTCTATTGAGCAAACAGGACTTTACTCAGATGAGTATTACTCACCTATAATGGCGAAGTAACCAAAGTAGTTTAGTATGTGAACGATATAGATCTTCATCAGCAGGTACCTGGCTAACCAGCCCTCGATTGAAAAGCTGATGGCCAAAGCAGTCACTAATATACTAAACACCCACACCGCTATACTGTAGTAGTAGAAGAATCGTATCAGCCTTATATTTTTCTGAAAAATAAAAAAATAAACAGAATTTTATTGTAGGTACAGGTTTAAGCTGCCACCTTCGTGATACGAATAAAAAAAATAAAGTGAAATGTATACCTAATTAATAAAGTTCAGCTACACTTGTACAATAATTCTCTATTGATACAATATCGAGCGCGGCATGGTTGGTATCACGCTCCGAAACTTTTCATGAGTGAGTCTGACTCGGACCAGTCCAGTTGTCTTAGTGCTTGGTAATACGAGTAATAGACCATGCTTGGCACGAATGGGCCGGCTTCACCAAAGTGGTAACAACGCTTGCGTTGTTTCACGTCGTGTGTGTGAGGTTACTGGAGGCCCAATTACCTCCTTCTCCAAGCTCCCCAATCTCTGAATCCCTAACAAAGCTCAAATTCCTGAGTTTAGGAATTTGAGCTTTGTTTTGCAAAAGTCCAGTAGTGCACTTGTATCTAATGTTCTACACCGATTGCGTACCATCAGGTAATCCGTCTGCTCGTTTACCGGCTTAAAAACAATTTCACTCACCTTGTACCCTCCAATAATAAAGACAATATTTCCGATGAAGTCCAGTATAAAGAAAGCGAGGCCCACACTAGTTAGAGCGACATCTCTGTGGAAACGCGACCTCATCTCTTCACTCCCATACGTAGAGTACATCATACATAGGCTGAGTAAGGCATATGATGTTGTAGTTATGAAGAACGCTGCTACTGACTGAAAAAAAAAAAACAATCGTGAGTGTACTGCTGGAGCAGGATTAAATTTTTATACGTATCTAGGTGGGACTGACGTTTGACCACTATCTCGCCTGATGGTAAGCGATGATGTAGCACGTCGCATTTGACTTAAGGACCGACTTTATGTAGGTAATTTTTAAGTAATTTGAATAGCTTTGTGGTAAAATTAATTATATTTTTAATTTTTTAAAGTTATCAGCAGTCTTTTTTAAATACAAAGGCTCAAAACCTTTTATCCGGTATTTATGCGGTGCGGTGTTGGTTTTTCGGGTTTAAAATTGTTTAAATTTTTGGGTACTTAGCTTACTTCGCAATATCTACTTACAATTTTCACATTGGCCCACACCAACAAGCCGTATCGCAGTGGGAAACAGAAACAACATCTGTTAAACTTCGGCTCTTCTTTGTTCATCTTGACTCCTTACTTCACTGAAATGGCCAACTGTAAACATAAAGTCATGATTTAAAATAACTATATAAAAACTATGTTTTAAAGTACTGCACACTGGCGTTTCTTAGGAAATCGTTTGCAATACTATTAATCACGACAGTGACCAGAAATAATAACTAATAGTAAATAATAGGTAATAGTCAAAACAGGATTTTCTCCTGTGTCGTGGATGCGTTTACAAGTATACAAGTTCACATACACATGATACCCAGTTCCCCGAAACAATTTGTCGATCACACAAAGAGTTGTTCCGTGCGGGAATCTGACCCGCGAGACGTTGCGCAGCCAGTTACCCAGCCACTGCACCAACCATGCAGTCGAGTAGAAAAAAATGACCAACCTATTTTTCTAAGTAAAGTTTTAACTACCTAGATAGTATACCTATTTTCCAATTATCAATTAAAATTACAAAACTTCGTAAAAAACTTTATAATTACAGTTTCGAGGTCAAAACTAAAATTAGGTACTTATCTACGAACAAAATGATATTTACAAGCATTTAATGAACATTACAATACTTACTTCAATAAAAATAATATGCACGTGCAAAATTCACATTAGATGGTCGAAACCACACTCTGTATTGCAATAGACACCATTAAATTAAAACTTCGAACAAATCGTTTATGTTTAAAACTGATTTGATTCACGTCAACTTGAGACACTGGAACACAAACTTAGATTATTATAACTTGCGATAGCACTGCTACAAATGAACCGAAGATAAAATAGATCGGTATTTACGCTCCCAACCATACGTACATACCTAATAACTATCTACATACATACATAATACATATTAATGTTATTTTATTATCTGCATAAGTGACGCTGTGAAGATAAATCTTTGGAATTATTGCTCAGAACATTGGCGGGTTAATTAAGTTTGGAAGTAGCAATTTATATTGAGGGTCCCTTAATCTTAGGGTAAACAGGATGCCCAATAGGGCTGATGGCCGATAAGGAGCCGCGGAAAACTTAACGGGTTACCGGGTCTCCGGCTCGAAGTGCAGGAGTAGGAACAGGGTGCTTTTTAGTTCGTAAGAGTCTGACACTCCCTCCCGCCTCACCCAGGTGAGAAAAGTCATTCGCTATTTTTTTCCCCTTAAAAAGAGGGTAAACAGGGTGTCGCTGGAAGTATACTGTTACCTAAGTGTCAGTTCAACTGGATCTTAACTTCCTGTGGTTTTCACTAGGTATAAAGTATTTTTATAATAAATAAAGAGTAAAAGACTGCCTCGTTGGCCGAGTGGTCGCAAGTGCGACTGCCGGGCAAGGGGTCTCGGGTTCGATTCCCGGGTCGGGCAAAGTATTACTGGGTTTTTACAAAATTCTCAGTAGTACAACGGAGTCTGGAATTGTGCCCGGTATATGGCAATAGGCTCACCCCCTATTACATGGGACTCATAACATAAATAGTGAAAAGTGGGTGTTACATTGTTCAGTGGGATAATGTGCACCCCTGTCTACCCTTTCGGGGGTAAAAGGTGTGATGTTATGTTATGTTATTTTTGAATGTAGGTAAGTGTGAGTACTTACAGATAAAGTTACGCGCTGTCTCCTTTTGCGCAGGGCCCATAGCAAATGCTATTCTAATATTGCTACGTGTTACACGATTAGTCTAATTTACATTTCATTATTATTAATTTAATAAAAAAGCAATAAATAGACACAAAATTATTTTGCGATTTTTGACATAGGTACGGGTGCCTAACATGGGACGCACAATATACTAACAGAAAATGCAAAAAGGCAAATAAATGTATGCCAACATAGAATAGAGAGGAGTGTTAATTGTATATATTATATATATTTATTTATAATACAGTTATTATTTTATTTTAGTTTTTTTTTATATACATATATAGGGTGACTAGGGAGATATACAGGGTAATTCGACGTATTCCTCTCGTCGTAATACAATCAATTTCCGACAAAATTAGCCTTGAGGTATCTCGTCCAAAAGTGGTTAGTTTCTGAGATATTCAACGTTTTCAGATTTGTTGAAAAAATCCCCATCGAACTACGAGGGAAGTTTTTCTAATAGTTGTTACGCTTAGTGTAATAGCAATTTTTCAAGCTAAATGCAGTTTTCTATTGGCCAAATTTGTGACTCAAAACAAAATATGACATTAATTTACTTCCTATTTTAAAACGAATGATATTTCTGCCAGTATTATTATAAACAAATGTTTATTGATGTACTGATAACAAATTACTTAAAACTAAAATCACTTAAATCCAACCAGAGGTTTTTTAGTTATTGATTTTTTCACCTAAACCGAAAAGAGTCTTGGGGCGTTTCGCACCACGAGTTATTCGAACCGCGGTCCGAATCGCCCAAGTACTATTTTTGAATAGGTCGATTCACACCACAGTGGTTACAGCGGTGCGAATAGCCCAAGGTATCTTTTGGAATGGGTCGATTCGGACCACTGAGCGAAAGTACTTAATAATCATATCGCGTATCTTGACTTCAACTCATAGAAATAATTAAAGATTTCTAATCATTTGGACAGACGATTAGAAAAGTGGTAAGTGTAAAAAAATATGCGATTTAAAAATCATGTTTAATATACAGTCAGATTCATCAACTACATCTCTTCTACCGACTACACCTATCCAAAATTAGAAATGTTTTTTCCCTATACTGTGGTCCGAATCAACCCATTACCAAAAGTTTTTGGGCGATTCGAACCGCGGTGCGAAAGGACACATTCAAAAAGAGCTTTTGGGCGATTCATACCGCGGTTCGAACCGGTCACGGTGCGAAACGACTATACACCCACCGAAAATGTTGAATATTTTTTAGAATTCTTTAAAAAATCTTTTAGAAATATTCATAACTTTAATACAGCAAAATATAACACGTTAATTGTTATAGATTAAGTATAAGTGTCTGGCGCATTCATTCTCATATTGAATAAATTATTCATTTGCAAATATATAACTGAGGTATGAATCAGTTTTATCACATTGTCATCCACATTTTTAAATATGAAAATAATATAAATCATAATATCAACGGAATTGAACAAGAGATGTATTTTTACTTTTCGAAATACTTACATAATAACATGTATAGTGCAAGAGCTCATGAACGTCAGACTCGAGTCTAGACTTCAGAAAAAGGAGGATGTCTATGTTCGGCTGATTGTTTTTTTATTTTTTTTTTGTTCGACCGGCGTCTATTGACCTATATGGAACCGACTTCTAACCTATCAGTGGATAGGTATTTTTTTGCTTTTTAGTTTTGACTCTTTGTTTGTTATTATCTATGAATGATCCAAAATTTTGTTTTAACGCTGAACACATAGGCAGGTGCACTATTCTTTCATGTAGGTTTTAAGCGCTAGAATGTGTGCATATGCACCTGCACCTGAGAGAGAACCTTCTCTTTCTATGCTCTCTCTTCTCGTGATTCGACTGGACAGCAATTCGATGATACGTTCAAAGTTCAAGGATGTTTAATAGATAACTTACTAGGCTAAATAACATGGACTTCCCGGCCATGATTCACTCTCAATACCTAAATGTACCTAATGTGAAATTATTTTCATATTTCATTAATTTGATAGATTTTGGCTTGAACTGTTGTGTGTAATAATAAATACAATCATGTTTGCTGACAGAGCACGGTCTTACAAGATCAATTGGGAGTTCTCAGCCTCTAAAAGATGTTGCTTGTGTTTCCCCTTACGATATGGGTTGATCGTGTGGGGCATTTGTTGTCTCGTAAGTACTTATATTTTTAGAATATCTATCGTGAGACATACTAAATTAACTAAAAATATCGGTTGACTCACGTAAATATATTTATTATTTATTTATTTATTAGCGTCCCGCCCGGGCTTCGTACGGTGCAATATGCATGTATTATACATACATATAAACCTTTCAGACAGACAGACGGCGGATAGCGACTTTGTTTTATACTATGTACTATGTAGTGATTTGCTAACTGATCCGGCAACTTCGTATAGCGCCATTATTTTTTCTTATCGTTTAAACTTTCACGTTAAAATTAGCAAAATCGATTCAGCCGTTTTCGAGTTTTAGTGAGACTAATGAACGGAAATTCATTTGTATTTTTATAGGTTTAATGAAGGGTACATGGTTTGCCTTACAATCTATACGTATGGAGGACGAGGACACCGACTTGGTGCAGCCTACCCCGTCCCGTGTCGCGGAGAACCTAACGGGTAACCGGGGCTCCGACTCGACGTGCAGGAGAAGGAACGGGGTGGTTTTTAGTCACTAAGAGTCTGACACTCCCTCCCGCCTCACCCAGGCGGGAGCAGTCATTCGATGATTTTCCCCCCTTAAAAAAAAAAACCCCGTCCCGTAGGATCGAAACTAGTGGTGCTGTTCACAGTACATTTATGTAATTAAACCGTTATTGTTAGAAAGTACTTAGAAAAGCGAAAACATTTATTTAACATTATCATATCATTATTTGGCATCCATTTTTGTCCAAGTATCATAAGTAGGTACCTACTATAACTTATCAATAAAGATTGATGCTTCCACTTCTATCAACTATGAGAAGTAGTAGTATTAAATTTTGATCGCCATATGTGCCATAAATCTCAATCGCAGCAGCAATAAAGAACGAAATAATTGTGATGCAATAGGGTAGATGCCTAATTTTATTTTATTGTCCGTCTGGTAAATCATTTTAAATCATTAGACACGTAAGTATTTTTTTATTTTCTTACAGAATCGAATACTTTGAATTAATCTTCGCGTGACATTACTTCTATGTACATTTTACACGTAAAAATGACGTTTTAGCCCCCACTTCTAAACTTTGATTCGTTTTATCTAAGTATTGATTTTTTTTTGGAGACTCGGTTGCCAAAGAAGAAAAAAAAAAGTATTGCTTTATTATAAGACAAAATAAAAAAATACGGGTCTAATATCTTCATTACCTAACTTACGGACTAATTAGATTTTTAATTTTCATACCCTGTCATCATCCCAATTAGGTATATGAATGCAAGTTAGAATAGAATATTGGTTAATATTGCAATTAATCTATTTCAGATTTATAATACTTACGACATGTCTTCAGATATAATGAAAACAAAGAAAGTGGTGTTTGAAGAACAAATATCAGTTATGGATGCCATCGAATTAGTGATAGTGCTTTTGATATCGATAACCAATGTGGTGTTTGGTTTTGTCTTCATAATAGCTGCTTGGAAGGTAAGGTTCTGAAATGCATATCATCATTATCATCAACAACGACCTGTAAGAGTCCACTGGCTATGGGCAGGGCCGTCTTAGACTGCGCTGGGGCCCTTGGGCACACATTAATACGAAATTTTACAACTAATCAAATTCAATACTTTTATTATCGAAACGTCAAAAACTATATTGTTCTATGCAACGTCGCATCGCAAAAATGTGCAAGTTCCCTGTACGCATCGCAAGAATTGATACGCATCGCGCTTAAAAATGTTATCTTCACAAAATCTTCTTTGTTTCTTTTTCCTGTATCTCCTCTAACGAAAGGGCGCACTTCTATTATGCGCATTACGATCCATGTCACGACCTAGTTTTCAATTTAAAATAAGTTTAGTACGGTTGACGGTCGTCGAAGGAATGGTCACCCTGCTGGGAGACATTGTCGCATGAAATCGCATCGCAGCGAAATCGTGTCGTAATTTTCTGCGTTGCGAATTCGCATCGCATCGCAGTTTTGTGTACGAGCCCTAACACATTTATGAATTTTAAGTTTAGTACTGATTACGTAACGTTTTGTTTTTCAGAAAAACTGGAGACTTTTAAAGATTTTCATGGTGGTCAATATTACAGTGGTCACAGTAAGCATACTGTTGTTCGTGAAAAGTCTTTGCGAAATATTGCCTACATACTTCCGTCTCCGAAGTTCTGCCATAGAAAGAGTTTTCAGCGACCTTATTATGGAGGTGGTTCTCAAAGCATCAGCCAAGTTTGTTGTAATATGCTGTAAGTAACTTGTTGGTTTTCAATTATCGTTATACGTGTTCATTGGTGGGAGACCCATACTTCGATACGAATGGGTCGGCTCGACTAGAATAATACCACGATCTCACTAAAAACCGAAGAGAAATAACACTCGTTCGTGCATCGTTGTGTTGGTGAGGTCACTGGAGCCCCAATTACCCGATAAAATCCCAGAATACCCAACAATCCTCAAATCCCTAATTCCCAAAAGGCCGGTAACATACTTGTGACGTCTCTCTGGTGTTTCATGTGTCCATGGGCGGCGCCGATTGCTTACCATTATGGGAAACGCCTGCTCGTTTACCGGCTTATTCCATAAAAAAAATTCGTAGACCTATTTTTTCTGACAGCTTAGTCAGACATCTGCTTTTAAGTACTTCGGAGCTTCTCCGAAGTCCGAAGTTCCAAGCAGCAAGTTCTCCGAAGTTCCACATTTCTAATTTTATTATGAGTCTGACGTAACAAGAGGTGAAAACATTGACTTTATTGAGAAGTTTTGAATCGATTAAATCATTTCTAATTCATTTATTTTTTATTTACTTTTTTATAGCATAAACCGGTAAACGAGCAGACGGAATCCGTCTGCTCGGACGCAAGTTGCGTGCGACTGCGGGCAAGAGATCTCGGGTCCGATTCCCGGGTCGGCCAAAGTACTACTGGGTTTTTAAAAAAAAGTCAGTGGTAGCATGGAGTCTAGAAATGTTCCCGGCATATGGCAATATGCGATTACTTACCATCAGGTGATCCGTCAGATGGATAAACAATCGGCGCCGCCCATGGACAACTCAAAATACCAAGGCGTTACAAGTACGTTACCGGCCTTTTGGGAATTGGGAATTTGAGGATTGTGGGGGGGTATTTGGGCCTCCGGTAACCTCACTCACACGACGAAACACAACGCAAGCGTTGTTTCACGTCGGTTTTCAGTGAGGCCGTGGTATCACTCCGGTCGAACCGGCCAATTCGTGCCGAAGCATGGCCCTCCAACACTTTTTTTATTTAATTTTTCTATTATTTTTTTTTTCTTATTTCTAAAATTTAATAATGTAAGTACAGTATCTAAACATAAAAAATCATTTGACTACATAGATTAAAAAACAAAATGGGTTATTTATTTTCATATGCGTGTAACACCGACTTTAGACAAGCTACATGTAAATTCCTAATAATAAAATCCCGAGCAGCTCGAGAATATCGAGTTATTTATGTTTCTGCCACCGACAGAGGGTGCAAATGAAAACTATAATCGTTAAATTAGGTTTATTATATTTAAAATTACATGGTAACTCCTAAAATCTAACTAACCTAAGTGCGAATGCGTTCGATGTTAGAACAACACTGACTTCTTCTCTTAAAATTATTTGGAAAGAAGGTTTTCAATAAAACCTATTGAGGTTAAATTTAGTGGGGTGATTGATGATGCAGCGATTCGCAGCTGGGCACGAGGCGGTGACATGAGGAGTCGACTCAGCAGTTTAGGTGTTGCAATACTTCGTTGCATCAAAGTAGGTCTAATGTCCTGATTCAGCAGATATGCTCCTCGTGGCACGGCGTTGATCACGGTGTAGGTACATGTGTCGGCACCGATACGTAACAAGTTATTACTAAAAGCTATTTTGTTTTTGTTGCAGTGTTACAATGCTACGCCATGTTTCTTCTGTGGCAGGAAATCAAGAAGCTGACTAAAGAAGATTATCAGTTCTCGTTCCACACTAATGAAAATAAATGTACTTTAACGCAAGCATACAAACTCCATACAGATGAAGAAGACGAAAATGCAGGTAGAGAAAATGTTAAAGGAGAAACAGAAGAATTAAAAGAAGAAGGTTCTATAAAGGATTCAAAAGAAGAATTAGTAAACATTGAATTTGGGAATAATCTTGAAGCTAAGTGCTTGATAGACTATGAAGAGAAAATAGCTGTTGATGCGGAAAGTTATTTTAATATTTACAATTAATACACTTAAATAACATACCTAATTATGAATAACAAATATACAATGTCATATTAATGTTCATATTCATCTATTTGCATACCATAAAGTGATTAAGATGTTAGAATAAGCTTAAAGCTACGTTACATTTATGAACCCCGTAAGGACACAGCAACATTTGATAAAGTTAAGTTACCATTTTTAAAATAAAGTTGACTTTACCATAACACCTAATAAAATAATGAAATAATTACAATTAAAGTAAAATAAATGAGGTCAAAATAAAATTGAAATCAAAATTTTGCTGTTAGTTTATTCTCCCTGCCTTATTTTTCGCACATTTTCTACTTAATTTGCAGATTTTCTACTTGCTATTATTTTATAAATTATGATTATTTCATTGGTTGTGAATGTTCATTGGTTATGTGATTCTTACTATGACTGTGACATATTGCACGAATTTAAATTATGACATAACTGTATCTATAATTTTAATTTTGATAGACATACAATTTTATTTCACATTTATAAAAATTTTACGATGATTATAACTTAACGGTAAAACGGGGTGAATACAATTCGAGGGGTGAATAGATACAGAAGAGGTGTGAATAAATGTAGGGAAAATATTCTAACGAATTCTATTCACCCCGTTTTACGGTACTAAAAAATTTGCATGCCATGACAAGCAGTAAACATAATTATATTAAGTGCAACTATTTTTTATCATCCTACATACATGCACCTGCATGTGTGTGTGTGTGTGTGTGTATATATACACATGTTTTTGGGAATAAATTTGATTTGATTTGATTTGATAAACCCTACCTCTAAAGTTGACTGGTAGAGAATTCCATATGGCATTAAGTCCTTATGTGCCATTGTGTACCTAATCAAATTGTGTACATTAAAGACTAAATAAATAAATAATTTCCTAGAACTATGATTTAATGACTATGTAAGCGGAACCGAGATTATTCATCAGGGTCAGGACGGACATGCCACAGCGTTGTAGAGCAGAAAAAATTTGGCTCTCTGTAAAAATGGGAAAATCTAAGGAAAAAATACTACTACCGTGGTATATTTATGACATGACAAAACTATTGAATATATAATGTGACGCTATTCAAAATACCTACTAAACATAAGTAATTACATATCTGTCTAGTCATAAATAGGCAAGACTTAAGGCGTCGTTAACGCCATCTACCGATCACAAAATTGTAAAGCTTGGATATGTCAGTCATCCACTTGATTAAAAGGCGCCATAAAATGCTAGAGTGTTAATTAAAAGTATAATTAAACTCATTAAATGCGACATACAACATCAGTTCACTTTATTCATAAATGTATTTTTCTTTCTTATCATAATGTGTTTTATCGTTTAGCAGAATAGCACATATATATATATATATATATATATATATATACATTTATTGATGATACCGACACTCGGACGGCTGACTTATAACTCATAATTGATTCGCAATCCTAACTGTGCAGATGTAAATATTCATTTTAAATACAATTTTAAGTAATATTTTTAGTTCAGTAACTGTTTTGGTTTTCGTCAAAATAGCGTGGATTGTGGTGCTTTGGACTTGGTAGTTTTAAATTATTAATAGTGTATAAAGAATAAATAATCATGAAAACTGAAGTCCCCATGTGTAAAAGATGCTGTTTCTGTCTACCCTTGCGACAAGGGTTGTTAGTATGGGGGTACATTAAACTGGTGAGTAATTTAAGTCTTTTATATTGGTAACTAGCTGTTGCCCGCGACTTCGTCTGTATAGAACAATGACGTCTGGCAGATTTTAGGCTTTTGAATTAGTGTTTATCAAGGGATATTCTAGAGGTACGGTAATGAATCGTCAGAATTGATTCAGTCCCGTAGGCGATAGTGTGATAATTAGCCTATGTCTTGACCCGACCCGTATTTTTTTATATGTGATGGGTCGACAGACGTTTGGCCATAATCTCGCCTGGTGGTAAGCGATGATACAACATGTCTGCACATAAGTAATTCACTCGGGCCTTTTTAACATCTTGTCTGCGTGTATAAGTGACACAATAGACATTGTGCCTCGAGAAATCTGCGCTCCAGCATACCACGAGTTAATAGCATTGAGCAAGAAAACTGTCCCTGAAAAAAAAACTTGTCCTGAGCGGAAAGAGTCTATGTTTTGAATACGTGCGCTATAACTGTCGGTGCTTTTACGTTTACTTGCATAGTCTCTGATAAGCCCAAGATTGCCTCATTGGCTGAGTGGTTAGTGGCAAAAGGTCTCGGATTCAACTCCCGCGTCGTTCAAAGAAATACTAGGGTTTTTTAAAGATTCTCAGTGGTAGCACGGTGTTTGGAATTGTGCCCGGTATATGGCAATAGGCTCACCCCCTATTACATGGGACTTATAATATAAACAGTGAAAAGTGGGAGTTACAATGTACAGTGGCAGTATGTGCCGTAATCTGCCTACCCCTTCGGAGATAAAAGGCGTAATCTGTGACAAGTCCAGTATGCAATGCACTGCACAGAATAAATATAGATTTAAAATTAATTAATCAACTAATTATTTTTTTTTACACTTAATATATAAAAATGAAACCCATTTCCAGTTGTTACGCTATAAGCTGGGTCGATTTGGCTGATTTTTTTTTGTTATGTTTGTTATTGTCAGGAGAAGGATGATAGAAAAATAAATCCTGAAAATCTTATGGGAAGGGAAGAAAACGGGATTGCGCGTACACAGTCACGGGCAGAAACTATAGTATTTTATATTATTTATTTTAATCTGTTATTATTAGAAGTACTCTCCTCATTTGCTCGAGGAAACTACATGGCAATGGATAAGGTATAAAATAAGCCAGTATATCCAATTCAATCACTTACCTACTCAAACTTTATGTGAGTGGCTTAATGACTGACTGACTGCCTGACTGACAGACATACTGGTAACACTACTGAACCTAGGAAGCTTTTTTAATTGAAAGTTAGCCTTATATGTCCAGGTTTCCTACGATATTTTCTTCCACCGTTTGTCAGTGGTGTCTAAATAATCTTAGAAAGTGATCGGAAAAAGTCACAATGATACTTACCTACCTAGTTTCAAACCTATCTTATTTAAGAAGTGGGCACTACAACCTCTGGGGCACCGGCCAAAACGAATAAGGGACTGACTGACTATGAGTGACTGGACAGATCTCACTCATTCTTTCCTTGTGGTGTATGTTATTTTCTTAAAAATATCATCGAAAAATATTAGATTACTGGAAACTCGTCTAAAGTCAAAGTCAAAATCATTTATTTCAATTAGACCAGAAAGGCACATTTGAACGTCAACAAAAAAAAATAAAAGTGAAGCTATTTTCTCATTCCAAGGTGTAGATTCCTATGGAGAAGAACGAGCAAGAAACTCAATAGGTTACTCTTTTTCAATCAGGTTAACAATACAATTCTCTAGTTACATAGTTTTGTTGTTTGGATTGTGCGAGAACAATGTAAGACTAAAATACAGTCAAAGAGATCGAAAAAAAAATAACCTTAAAGGACAGTAAAAAATACAGTCTGGAGCTGACCAGTCACTGTTGACGGCGTCCGTTCACGAACATGACACGTACACCAGCACCGCCCAACTCAACCATATTGTAGGGAATCGAGCGATCCACTGCACGTGACATCGCCAATGAGACCTTTGAGTGAGCATGACAACTCCAAGCTGACACTTAGTCCATTAATGCCGTTACTAATATATTTTCTCTTTGTTACAGATAGCTGATTTATACATTCTCGCAATACTGGCCTACCTATTGGTCATAATAATTGCATTCAAAGTATTTGAAGTGGAATTTGCTTGTCTGATCATTGCCATTGCTATATTTTTGATTGATTTTGCATTGACAATAGTATTCGTCGTTGGAGTACATAAGGTAATACTTTACCCTATTTAAAAAGATATGACATACATAACAATGATACAAACATAGATTCTCTCCTGTGTTATGGGTGCGATTACAGATATACAATTTAATATACACGTTAAATCCTATGACCCGGAACAACAATATGTGGATCACACTGAGAATCATTCCGTGCAGGAATTAAACCCGCGACACGCTGCATGCCAGCCAGTTACCCAGCCATTGCGGCAGCCATGGAGTCATTAATTGAAAATTTATCTTTAAATTGAAAATGGGAAATAATTTAAAACTTTATCTTAAAATGAGTAACAATTAAAGTTTATATTAGCATGACTTCTTTGATTGTCTTGGTTCACGTCATGTTTATCAATATAAAAAAAACATTGGAAAATGGTGTTCGTGATGTGACAGGAACATAGAATGTACAGATGTCGCCACCTGTACCCTTTTGCGGGTGTCATAGAAACCGAATGACACATTTAGAGATCAGGTAGCAGACCTCATGAACAACCCTGAATCTTTTTTTTCATGGCATAAGCCGGTAAATAAGCAGATGAATCATCTGATGGTAAGCAATCGGCATCGCCCATGGGCACCTGGAACACCAGAGGCGTTACAAGTGCGTTACCGGCCGTTTGGGGATTAGGAGTTTCAGGATCGTTGGGGATTCAGGAATTGGGGAGATTGGGGAAGGGGAGGGTAATTGGGCCTTCGGTAACCTCACTCACACGACGAAACACAACGCAAGCGTTGCTTCACGTCGGTTTTCTGTGAGGCCGTAGTATCACTTCGGTCGAGCCGGCCCATTCGTGCCGAAGCATGGGTCTCCCACACTTATATTAACTCTTACATTAAATTTTTATTGAATATATTCTCTTAACTCGTCGAGTACCCGTTTTGTAGACACAATTATAGAACAATAGGTTGCGGTCACCGGTGACCGCTTGGTGTTTGACAGTTTAAATTATATTCAACCCAACTAGCAAATGTGGATTACAGCCAACCCCTTTATGTAAGGAGGCCCATTGATAGTCCAGGAGTGGACTGTCACTCGTAACATTCAGTTTCTCCACTCTTTATTATACACGAAGCTTTATTGTAAGTACATCGTCACGTTTTATACTAACACAGTTTTATGTGTTACAGAAAATCGTAAAGTATTTGAGATTATTCTACATCTTAAGTATAGTAATGTTGGCAATAACGCTGTTGTTGATGATTGCATACATTGGCCTGGTAGCAAGCTTCCCTTGGTATAGTTCGACTGCTGAATTGTGGGAGCATTACATCAAGGTCTACTCTAGTTTCTTTCTTGTATTAGGTAAGTTTTACGTTATAATTACCTACTATATTATAATCTTTATTGTCTCATTGTTTGAAAGGTTAAGTGAGTAACACATTCGATTTGAGGTTTCGGTTTTTCGGAAATCATATTACATATAACATCACACCTTTTATCCCCGAAGGGGCAGGCAGAGGTGCACATTATACCACTGTACAATGTAACACCCACTTTTTACTATTTATGTTATGAGTCCCATGTAATAGGGAGTGAGCCTATTGCCATATACCTGGCATAATCCCAGACTCCGTACTACTACTGAGATTTTTTAAACCCAGTAATACTTTGCCCGACCCGGGAATCGAACCCGAGACCCCTTGCCCGGCAGTCGCACTTGCGACCACTTGGCCAACGAGGCAGATTTTCGGAAATCCTCAGTAAACGATATTTATTTCAGAGGTACTGGAGGTGGTCATAATATTTTATTATTTTATTTTATTACAATGTAACACTCTCTTTTGACTGGCTAAGTTTTCAGTCCCGTGTGATAGGTTTGTTTTTTAGGGAATACCATCTATACAGCTACTTATCCCGTCTTCATTCTTCATTCCGAGGTGGGAGAGAAGAGAGCATCAAAATCTTCTGATTAAAAATCACCCCATTTATAATCCTTTCGAACCGGAGCCCTGGTAATCCGTTACCTTGTCTGCAGTTCCGGGATAGGGGGTCAACCTATATTTTTTATGGCATAATCCGGTAAACGAGCAGACGGATCATCTGATGGTAAGTAATCGGCATCGCCCATGGATACGAACTGGAACACCAGAGGCGTTACAAGTGCGTTACCGGCCTTTTAGGGATTAGGAGTTTAAGGATCGTTGGGGATTCAGGGACTGGGGAAATTGGGGAAGGAGAGGGTAATAGAGCCTCCGGTAACCTCACTCACACGACGAAACACAACGCAAGCGTTGCTTCTTCGGTTTTCTGTGAGGCCTTGGTATCATTTCGGTTAAGCCGGCCCATTCGCGCCGAAGCATGGCTCTCCCACACTTAAAATTACCATATTACTTATTATTATTATATTATTTATAATTACATTATTACTATAAAATGATTGCAACACTTGACTAGACTTGAAGAAATAGTTGCTAAAATAAGTCTTTCTCTTTCAGTGGTCCAGATCTACTTCATATTGTTATTAAGAAGCGAAATTATCAAGCTGAAGAATAGTCGCAAGTTTAGGTTCGTTAACAATACTGCTGAGGCTCTCTGCTCTATGGAGTGTGAGGTTCCAGCTGCTGCAGAGGCAGCTGAAGGTCGCCAGTGACGATTGAGACTAGTAACATAGTTCATTATCTTTAGCATCATATGAGCCACGTCCACTTCTGAATATAGGCCTTCCCCAATGACGAGTGTTCAATTGTTTCAGGTGCCTAATTACGTTAGGTACCCTTGTCTTGGTTGTAATTAAACACATATCGACTCTGCTTAATTTCAAATTAAATTCCATATTTAATTTAATTAATTGATCGCAACTTTTATATTATGTTGCTTGATCTTATTCGAATGTTATAATTTTTTTTATGTAACATATTCTACCCATTTTATGTGCATGCTGTGTTAGCCAGTAAGTAGTTGTTGCACTTATCAAAATAAGTATTATATATTTGTATGTAATGAATGTATGAGTGCAAATAACTGTTGGTTAATCTAATAAATAAAAAAATACTACCAGATAGGCCGGTTGGAAGCGACTTGCCTCCATAGGCTCTCTGTAATCTTCATCAGGCCGTCCATCTTGTGGGTGGACATTCAATACGTGGTCTCCATTCGTGTAGATACTGTGTTGTATAGTTATGTGTGTGTCTGTTATTTATTTTGTAATTAAATAGCGTTAGTTGTTTGTATTTGTGTTTTCTGTTACCTTGTATGCGGTGTATTGATATTGACCCGCAAGATTTTGCCAATATCTTGCAGAAGAAGGTAAGTGTGTAGATTAGTTTCTTTATCAAAAAGCTTACCTTCTTCTGTTTCTATTTGAATAGATTGATAGTTTGGTATCATAATTTATAAATCTATAGAAATAATTGAATAAATCTGTTTTACTACTTTAGGCAACTTTTATGTTAAAAACCTCCTTTGTAGCGCTATAATAAAGATGGTGGTAACGTAGTGAATTCGCGTTCGCGCTAAAATTCAAAATTCGAAGCCCCGCCCACGCCTCGCACGAGCAGGCCCTACGGTGGCGCCAACCAACAGGCGCCGCCGAAACGTTAAGTGAGTGCGCGTGTTCGAAGATGCTCCGCGTTCCCGCCAATTTTCTCGAATTTTTATTAGTTGTGGAAACATCCAGTACAAATACCATTTTTTTTTAAGGGGGGAAAATCATCGAATTACTGCTCCCGCCTGGGTGAGGCGGGAGGGAGTGTCTTGTGTGTGGAGTGGAGACTCTTACTGACTAAAAACCACCCCGTTCCTTCTCCTGCACGTCGAGCCGGAGCCCCAGTTACCCGTTAGGTTCTCCGCGACAGTACAAATACCATTAGCGTAAAGCCAACTCACGTTCCAACTGTTACGTTGGAGATTTAAATATTAGACTGTTGAATACTGAAATATCAATTTTAAATATCGTGCCATCTCTGTCATTTTATAAAGAATTTGTAGTGACAGAACTATACTTGAACTCAACTTAAAATTGATTAGCGTTTGAATATTTCGACAAGAGCTAAAGAAAGGAAGGAAGGAAATGGAATCAAAGAAATGGTTTTAAACAACAGTATAATAATTTAGAAATAAATTCACTTGCCTTCACTCCTAAGTACACAATAATAGTAAAGTCATAGCCATTATTAATTGAAATTAGACACTTATAGACACTTTACAATCTGCAGAAGTGAGAACAAAATATATTATTATAGTTTTGTGATGATAACATAATCTAGTATCCAGTCTCTTCGACACTTGTAATAGCTACTTCTTCACCTTCTTTCTTTGTGTAGGTCACGGTAGTCTTTGGTACTTCATCGACATCTTCTAATGTATACTGGTTTTTGTCCTTGATCTTCATTATTTCAGTCTTGACAAGGAGTATGACATAAATATCGAGTACTGAAATATACAAAAAGAAAGTGGTTAGGTGGATATTCGTCAGCCTTTTAATAATATGCCATTTTCATCAACCTCTTCTACATTTTAAGGAAGCTACGGTCAGGGACAGTTAACAACATTTTGGTTTTTAACATAAGGTATTTAACCCATCACATCCCCGAAGGGGTAGGCAGAGGTGCACCTCGCCGCAATGTGCACATTACGGCACTTAATGCCACTGTACAATGTAACACCCACTTTTCACTAATAATGTTATAAGTCCCATGTAATAGGGGTGCACCTATTGCCATATACTACAATTCTAGACTCCATCCTACTACTGAGATTTATAAAAAAACCAAGGCTTACTCTGCCGGACCCAGGAATCGAACCCTAAAACCCCTTGACCAGCAGTCGTACTGGCAACCAGTCAACGAAGCAGTCAATTTTGGTTTGTACCAACTTATAAGTGACACCTAGTACAAGTAAGGGGTTAGTTTAGATGGTATATCACGCTAAGGTTGGTCAGTACATGTATTTGTTACTTTTAGGTATCAAATCGCCAGTTATGTTATAAGGCCCACGTAATAATAGAGTATGTAAGAATCGTAGTAATTGGCGTTCCTTAGTCTCTGCCTACCCCCATGGGAGACAGGCGTAAAGTTATGTATGTACTTATGTATGTAATATAGGCAGCGGCGTCGGCGAGTTATTTCGTCTCTTGTAGACAGAGGGTCAAAAACGTTGAACAAAATAGCTCTTTTCAGAGCTGTATGCTTCTTGGTTTCTATTTACGATGGTCTAAAGCCTTGTGGCTTGTGCTATGGCTAGTGTGGCTACATAGGTATACATTCTGCCATACATTTCGTACAATTCTTGACTCCGTGGCATAACAAAGAATTTTAGAAACATCGAAATAAATAGAGTGGTACCTTTGTCAACTTGGATATCTTACCAATCAGGCGGTCATTTTCAGTTAAACTCTTGACTGCCACTGTTTTTCCTAGTTCTGTGGTTAAGTGTAAAGGTAGATACTGTTACACATGTTCTAAAGTAGCATGGTAAAACGCGTTCATTTGAGCATGCTCAAAAATGATCAAAACTCGAACGCCTGTCGATTCACAAACATGCTAATTATGACCAAATTAACTAAAAATTACGGGTTACTCACGTGAATATACTGAGAAAAGCTCTACAAGTTTCGAACCACAGAGGGGGTATTCAGCATGAGAGGGCGCGGTGGGCTAGATGCGCAAGTAGCAACACCGATGCGAGCGCCAACGCTAGCCACGTCGCCGGTTGCGCGACAGCTGCGCGATCGCGCACGCTGAGGAAAAACTCCTCTGTGGTTCGAAACTAGTATAGTCCATCTGTTTAGGTAATTAACTAAAGGTAAACAAAGAAAACCACGTGACTCAGAGATACTTAACATTTTATTACTTCAAATATTTCTTGTGTTTTAATTAAACTAAATTCACTTTAAAATCGTTTATTTGTCACAGGGATACAAGCACAAATGTCTAAATCGTACAAGAGCCTATTCAAGTGATATTATTTGAGCAAAAACTTATACATCAAAAGTTTACTTTTTGTCGACAGCTATGATTTGAGAGACAAATTCGAGATGCTTTTGTGAAAATAGGTGTAATTTATTATAATGTTGAAATAGACCCTATTCTGAATCCGACGATGAATCAGAAGTGGAACTATCTGTCACATGAATGATAAAGCGTTCGGTTGTATCATCAATTATTTGATCTAATTTAAACATTTTTTGTTCTTCTTTAATAACGTGGTCCTCACATTTCTTCCAATTTTCTGCAGTTACACTTGCTAAGGCTTCTTGCAAAATACTTTTCAACTCTGCCATTTTAAAAGATTTATTTTTATTTGCTATAAATCCCTTTACTTGAGCCCATATTAGCTCTATGGGATTCAGCTCACAATGGTACGGTGGCAAACGCAGTACTGTGACACCATATTCTTTTGCCAATTCATCCACAACATATGACTCATATTTATGTTTCTCGTACTTTACTTTTTGTAAAAGTTGAGCTTTTATTTCTGTTGCTTCGAAAGCAATATTTTTTTCATTTAACCATTTTTGTATTTCAGCTTTTCTTGTTGCTGTAGTTGGTACTTTTTCTTTTTTTCTTGAATGATAAGGAGCATTATCCATCACTAAAATTGATTCCCTATCAAGTTTTTTCAAAATATTGGTGATCCATTTTTCAAAATTGTGGGCATCCATTTCAGAGTGGTAATCACCATCACCCTTTTTAGCTTCAAATATAAGCTCCCCTTCTTCAACAAAACCACTGGATGAACCTTAAACAAAACAAAAAGACAAATTGCAACAACTGACTCGGACTAATCTCATGTTTGTATAATATTTTCAAAGTAAAGTGTATGTTGTTAGCTTTTATACATATATGTATATTATTTTCAACATTATGACAATTTTATTAAATTATTATCCTACCAATGTGGCCTAAGATAAGGCGTTTGCCTTTTCCGCTGGGATTCTTCAACCCTGTAGACAATCCCTGCCTGTGGGCCTCTTTACAGGATGCTATTGTGGTATCTTGCCATGTTGAAGATTTTGTGTGTCCTGCAAAAATCAATGAGTACTTAAAAAATAGTAATGTAATAATTAATTTACAAATGTACGGTATTTATTTTTAAAATATACTATTGTTGTTAGTACCTTCATTCACCCAAGTTTCGTCCAAATAATATATTTTCCTTCCATCTCTTCTATATTTTGTAATCTCATTTAAATATTTCACACGCCATATTGCAATCTCTGGTTTCACAATAAGCATACTCTTACGATTGCGTTTGGAGTATTTAAAGCCTAGTTTTTTCATAACTTTATGCATCATGTCTTTATTCAAATTAGGTAAACTGTCATCATTATTCACACTTTCCAAAACTTTGGCAATTGTTGGGATTTCATTATCAAAAAAAAACATGTGGACTTTTCTCCTGATTCCAGCTAAATCCATGTCATCAAGACTGTCAATTCTGCTTGGCTTTGTTGCCGGTGGAGGAGGAGATCGCAGATCATGAGAGTTTGTGTACTCTTTAATAACCTTATACACAGTTGGTTCAGACATTCCCACTATTGATGCACTTGTTTTTATTATTTCTTTCTTGTACGGATATGTGTCTTTGGGCCAAGTTTCTTCAACATGTTTGAACACATTAATTACAATCTGCTTCTCAGAAGACGAAAGAGGTCCCCTTTTAGATCGTTTTTTCTTAGGTGATGGAAATGTAAGGATGGAGCTTGCCTGGCTAGTACCAGGCTGAGGTTCACTCATTTTATGATAAAATACGAATGTAAAAACAATGAACGATGAATAACTAAAATAAAATAACTAAATAACAAAAACAAAACAAAGAAACAAGATAAATTGAACAAAATGGGAACGCGAGCGCAAACGACGGGAGAGCTGTCAATGGCGCCTGATTAACCGACTAAACGTAATACACGTTACTTTCGTTGTTGCGCTACATCTTAGGGTACTCTTTAATTTGATAACATTATCCAAGGCTTCGTTCTTATAGAAAGGTTTTGGATACCTGGTATTTTAGGCTCTTTATGGTGTCTATTGTTATAAAATATTATATTACTTAAATAAATGTTATTAAATAATTATGCTCAAGCAGTTATATATAACATTTACGAAGAGTAGTTTAGGAATAAATGAAAAGGAACTGAAACATAACATTTAATAGAGAAAACTGTCGTAAAAATTGAAACAATTTTAATTGAGTTATGAAGTATTTTGGATCATGGAAATGCCAACTATAAACAACTCTTTTTATGATTTGTTTACAAATAGTTAACTACCTAAACAGACGGAGTATAGAGCTTTTCTCCCTATAATCACGTGAGTAACCCGCGATTTTTAGTTAATTTAGTATATCTCACGATAGTCATTATAGGG